GGGGGTGTTACAATCATGCATCCTGGGCCTGTGGTCATCCAATTTAAATGTATGGGTTTTAAAAAAGCCCCTCAAGCAGTATTTGCTCTTATGGATGTTAAGAGTCTCTAAGACTTCTGGGGTAAAACAACAGTCCAGTTAATTATCGGTGCGTTGCAGTGAGAGCCCTGAAGAATCCCAGTATTTATGGAGCTGCTGCCAATGCCAGATGAAGTCACACCGATTATCCTCGCCAGCTGTTTGTTTTGTTGAACCGCAGCGATTTCTCCAAGTTACTGAAGTTGATGTCATTGGAAGTGATGTGACATTTTTGCACACATATAGAATAAGTGTTAAAAAATGCTCCAGAAGAGCTTTTCCAGTCTTGTCTGGGAGCTGGCTGGGGAGTTGAATTAAACTGGCTTGATGGAACTTAATCCATAAAGCAAATGAGTCATCAGGCATAAATGGCTTTACCATAAATGTCAGACAGATTTTTACTGGTCCTGACAGAACTTACATCTGTTTGGTGGAGCAAATAAAAGCATCGCAATTCACAATCATTTTCGTAAATGTGCTGTCCTGCCTCTTCCCCTTCACAGGAAGCTCTAGGAATAAAGGTCAATGTGATTTATTCCCCTCTTAAAAACTAGCTCTTCTGATGGATGAAATACTCATTATTTTCAGGCAAAAATTGACCTTTTTTTTTTCTCCGCTTCAAATTTTTTGTCAAACCAGGAAAGTGCAATTGTGCCTTGCTCCTGCATGTGAAGTGCCACTGCAGTTACTGGAGCACTTTCTTGAGCCCTGTGTGCCCAGATGTGCCAGACTTGTTCATGTACCAAAAGAGGACTTTACCCACCATCTGCGGGTGGCTGGAGGACACTGCTGGTGGCTTCCCCTTCGAAGCAGTACCATTGCGTTACTAACTTGCTCCCTGACCTTGGATACCTCTTTACTTCAAAATAAGTCTTAAAAACCTAAATGGCTTGGCTGGTAAAGTCTTCAAACCACTCTTAGTGTCATCGTAAGTTGTCATTTTACAAAGGCTTCATGGAAAATCCATAGCTGTTGCATGTGCGTGGAGGGGGGTGGTGGAAATTAATGGTATCTTCGTTATCGCTGTTCTTGGTGAAAAAAGCAGATGCTGACCTAGGAAGGAGAGAGGCTTGGGTGTTTTGTGTAACCACAACAGTGAAACAAATAGACACTTGAGTGAGGAAAGGGAGCAGAGCTGGCCGCTGCCTTTGTCAGCCGCACCGGGGCTGGGGGCAGCTATCTCTTGGTGAAATTTATTAGCGGCAACACACTTGAGAGGACACAAAAGGCTTGCGAACCTCCCAGCACGGCTTGCTCTATTTAAAGTCAGCTTTTTAAATCAAAGAAATGGGGCTTTTGACAGCAGAGCTTTGTGCATCTTTTGTGAAGTTCAGATAGTGGGCCTTTTTATTACAGGCTAAATTAGCCCATTTTATTGTTTTGCACTGAGGGATGAGGTCAGTTGACTGGGAATCTTGCTAACAAGGTTTTACTCCTGTCTGCTGTTTGCAAGTGTTAACACGGGGCATCCACCAGGGCCATGCATTTGCTGTTAATGAAGCAAAGATGAACGGTCTAGCAACCCCGTGAGCTCTGCTGCTTCCCCCACCACTGAGCTGCTCAACCCGTGTCAGTGTACTTGAGCTCAGATGCTCCCTGGGGCTCTCATTCCTCCAAAATTGGGTGCATTGGTTTTCCTTCTGATTTTGCATGCTTGCACGCTGCTGCTGGAACAAGAAGAAAAGGATGAACTTTGCTGGGCAGGCTGATTGATTTGGTTTGAAAAGGAAATGGGAAAATAGTAGGCATGCTGAATGGCGCTCATGAAGCGTGGTGAGCTCTGAAGGAGAGTTGTCTGATGTGGCTCACGCTTTTTCCTGGCACCTTTCGCATACCAAATTTATTCAGTTACGCACTGATTTTTCTCAGGTTCTTGACCTAGAACTAGCAGCAAGCTTCCCTTGTTCATCCTCCCCGCCCCCCTCACTCAGCAGCAACCACTGGGTCAATGCTGTCCTTTATGTTGAGTGAGGTTGAGGTTTCTGCCCCAAGACTTGAGCCTGTGGCTCCTGGGACTTGCAGGTGATGCCTTTCCATGTACTCAAAGGTACTGCCAGTGCCTGGAGCCGTCAGACCCAGAGGATGCTCAGCTCCTGTTGTGCTGTAGGGAAGTCTGGTGGGATTGAGCCAAGATTTCTCTCCATGTGTAGCTCAGGAGCTGCCATCAGCTGAGACTAAAAGCAAACTCAGCTTTAGAAAATTCTCTTCTGCTTAACCTTTTGCACTGTGTTTAGCCAACATGCCTTTCTTTTGCTTTATCTATTCCTCAAGGAAACGCAGTTATAGTCCTGGTCACTTATGGGATGCAGGCTATCAGCTGTCCTTGAGGTGTAAATCCAACCTTATCAGGAAGAAAAAGCTTTCAGCCTTCCTTCCTTGCCTCTTGGAGACAAATACCAAGTCTGCTTTTGTGGCTGTTTTATTTCAGCTTATCCCAACAGTACCGGACACTCCCCATAACCCTATGGAAACTGGGGAGCTTTAACCACCTAAGTGGGAAGGGCATAAATGGCTTAGTTTGGGTGTCAGTGAGGGGCAGGGGTGTTTGAGAGGTCCTGTGTGCAGAAATAGCAGCTGGAAGGATGTTCACATCATCAACTTTAAGCAAATTGCCTTGGCCAGGTTGGGCGTTCTCCGCTGGAGGGAGCCCCAAAGGGGCAGCCTGTTTTGTTGCTCTGAACTGCCTTTGAAGACAAGGATGGTAACATCTGGTGTGAGTACCCCCATAACACCCCTCAGCTCTTCCAAGTCTCTGCTCAGGGCTGGGTGATGTCCTCTGGGTCACACCATGGCTGAGTTCCCCATGCAGGTCACATTAGCTGGTGGACAGAGCTGGCTGGAAATGGGAAATGTTCTATGAGACAAGAACTTTGCATTTTCTGTTTACCCAATAGTGCATCCCCATTTTTGGCAATTCCGTTGAAAAAGAAAAAGCCAGAACAGTAATTACAGAACTGCTCTACAGATTTATAAAAAAAAAAAAAGGAAGAAAAGACTATTTCTGTTTCTTAAAATAGAAAAATTGAAAACTACTTTGCAGACATTCCTGTTAATTTTGTAAAGATTATTCACAGGAAACAATGACTATTAAGCTGAAACCAATGGTCAATTTTAAGGTAAACTGTGTAGTATCTGAGGGGTGCCCAGACATTATGGTGGGCTGCTGCAGAGATGGAAGTGATAACTTAGAAATCGAGGAGGGAAACCCTGGGCAGCTGTAAGCTGTCGTTGCCCCTCAGAGCTGGGCAGGATGCGGCCAGATCTGCATGGTCCTTGTAACTGTCTTTCCTGATGGATCTCTGCCAAAAATGTAAACAGTGCTTTTTTTTTTTTGTGAAGTTGATGGTATGTGTTCATGGGAAGCTGAACTCCTCACGGACCCAGCAGCACCCACAGCTGGACCATGTGCAGCTTGCATGCACAAAGGCAGATTTGGCCCATAATTTCAAAAAATACTCTTTGCTTTTCCACGGGGCTGTTTGCTGGTCTGGCCAGGCTCCGTTCAGAGCTTCTGGTTCCTATTATGTGCCCAAGTCATCCTCCCAGTTTTGCTGTAATGCTTCTTTTTCCCCTGATGCCTTAGACATGTTATTCTATTATTAAATATGATTTTTTTTCCCACTAATTGAAGTATTAGCTCTAATAATCCAAGTAGTAAAGTCTTGTGTTATGTAACTGTCTACTGAACAAACTGGTGTTTCGGTGGTATGGTTAAGCAGTGCCGTGGTTCTTTAGGAAACTAGAGAGCAATTTCTGCCCTGACCTTTAGGCTGTGGCTGCGTCGTGCTTCGTTCGCTGTATAGCGAGTGGTCTGTTAAGCAGCCTCGGTGCCTAACGAGCTTGCTCTGCACCTGGCTTTTAATAAGCCATTGCAAACCCCCTCCCTCATTTCTCTTTTTCTGATTATCAGATGCATTTCTAATCTTTTTATGTCTGCCACACTTGTGGGTAGCAAATCAAGGTGAGGCAAGATGAAGAAAGAGGGGGTGATGTCTTTTGTGAGACCAGCTGATGGGGTGGGAAAAGCAGAGAAGTTCTGAGGTCAATAAACAGCTTTTTGGACTGGACAGGGTAACTCTGCATCCCTGCAGAGCTCCGCGGGACCGGGCAGGAGAGGAGCTTGTTTATTGTCCGCAGGATGCTGCTGATTTGGGGTGCGTAGAGCCCTTTGCTCTTATTTTTACTGCACCCACATCGCCCGGGGCTGTCAGCACTGTTGTAGGTGTGGGGTGACCGCAGATGCAGTTATCTTTTGGGAAGGTGCATTTGGGGACCGGGCGCGATGCCCAGGGGCTTCACACCTCACGGAGCAGCCCGAGATAAGCGGCTGCTTGACCCAGCCCCGGACACAGGGTTTTCTCCTGGCTCGTCTCGGGCAAGGTGCCCGTGCCAGTGAGGTGGCCCTGCCAAGTGTTTCACTTTTTCTCGGTGGCGTTTATGCCCGTGACTGCAGTCTGGGGCTGGTGGCTCCGCGCGCGCCGCCGTCCCCCTGACGCTCTGTCTTGTCTTTCCCCGCAGGGCGACATCCAGCAGCTCCTGATCGTGGCGGACCCCCGAGCAGCCCACGATTACTGCGAACATTACAGCCCCGACTGCGACACCGCCGTCCCCGACTCCCCCCAGTCCCAGGACCCCAACCAGGATGAATATGTAAGTCTCTTGCAGAGGTGGGGGATGCTTTTGGGGCGGCAGCATCCGGCTCTATATGGCGGTTGCTTCTTCCTCCTGTTCAGCTTCCCTGCGAGTCATCTGTAAGGGCCAAGACAGAGCTTATTTTTAGGATTTGCGGGTTCTGGTCTTGGCTCTTGGCTCTTGCCCTCGGGAGTTTCCCTTCCTTTCTGTAGTCCTCCCATTTCCAGAGACCGAAATGAATATTTGCTTGGAGATCAAAAACTTGCAGGAGAGACACCCTGAAGCCGAGTGTGAAATACTGACCTTCCCTGGCAGGTCAAATCTTGTCTGTAGGTAACAGGCACCCATTTCTAAACTTAATTTTACTCTTGAACTTGTAAAAAGATTAAGCAGTTCTTTTTCAATATTCTTTGAAACAACAGGTGTTAAAGGAGGAGGAAACACTTTTGCCCATGTATTTGACATTTGAGTTTCATCATTTTGGCAGAAGTGCTCCCAGCTCATCTGTATAAGCTGCTGTGCTCAGTATTTTTTCTATAAAGAGTTAATCTCAGATATTTCCTTTAAAAAAAAAAAAAGGAAAAAAGACTGCTACAGGTGCTCTCTCTATTTTTGCTCCTCAATTAGAAATGTCTGGATGTGGCTGATTTCCAGAAGAGCATCACCTGAATTTTACATGTTTTTAAGAAGTCTCAAGCTCAGCTCACAACAATTAAAGTGTCTGGCATCCTCCACTGCTGCTCAGCATCTTGGCTGCTCTCCTGGTCTGATTTGCTGGTCCATGCACTTTCTTGCTTTCAGCTGGTCTAAATCCCCATGAAGCTGTAATGCTGTCAGCCCACTCTGGCTTAGCTTTAGGATTGAATTAAAAACCTGAGCCTAGCAGGGCTTTGGGGAGCAGAGCGATGCTTGCAGGCGAGGCACGGCCACCCAGCCCCAGGGAAGTGCCGTAACCACTCTGCCAGCCCTTCTGGAGAAACAATAAATAAGTAAAATAAAATAGACTTTGGTATGGTCAAAATATGTGGTAGTAGGAAAATAAAACTCTTCTCTTGGAGCCAGCGGTTCAACAAGGGCTGGCTTGTCTTAGGGCTGTGTTGCTCCATGTAAGAATAACTCTTCCACGCGCTGGCGTCTGCTGCCAGTGAGAGCGATGGACTGGCGAAGAAATTTGCCATGCCCAGCTGTAACCAAATGTTTTGTTTGTATTTCATTTTGAAGAATGACTGACGCCTTGTGGAAAACGCTGAAAATATCTTGTTTTTTAAGCCCTTCTGCCTGCAGGCCACGGGTAGATGGGAAGTCCCACAGATGCTATTAGTGCAGTTAAATGAGTGAAAATAGCATCCCCGCTTCTCGGAGCGGCTGCGTGATTCAAGTGTTTTCTTCCCCTCTCTGAATGTTAAATGTGTGACCTGGGAGGTCTCAACAATCTGAGGCTGAAGAAAGAATAATGTTTTTTCTTTTTTATTGTGTCATTGTGGGTGACTGAATTGCTGCAGGGTCAGTCAATCCTCTCTGATAAGGGAGAATGTGCTGCAGGACCAAAAAATGATTGGGGAACCTCCTCAAATGCCAACCATTGCCAAAGCAGCCCAAAGCCAGGCTCTTGGTGAAGGTTTTGCAGAAGCCGATGAACAAGAGGAAGGGAAGGATTTCACTGCATGGACCTGCATCACGGCATGGCCCAGTTGATGTGAAATAAAGTCTTAAAAGAGCTGGCAGGAATGTGCGTGAGTGCTGCCAGCTTATTTTATGCTTCTCATATTCTTTTTGCAGTATACAGATGGGGAGGGAGAAGGTGACACCTACTACTACGAGTACCCCTACTATGAAGATGTTGATGAAGCTGTAAAGCCAGAAGTACCCACCACCAAACCTGGCACTCCTGAAGTGGCTGCTGGAGAGAGACCTGAAACCAAGCAGGTACTGACACGGGGTCCTGGCAAAGATCCGTTTGATAAATGGCACTTTTATAGAGGGAGGGAGGTGGGGGATGCTGCAGAATTTTCTTTTTGTGTCTCTGATTCTGGCATTTTATTTCTGCAATAGGACTATCCTGCCCCTACAACCTCACCTGGTGGAGGGGACGCTGGCAAGCTGACAAAAGGGGATGCTGTGGTGGATGACCCTCTCGTGGATGAGTACAACTATGAAACCATTAACGAAGAATACTTCACGCCTCTCCCCTATGAAGATGTCAACTACAACGAAGAAGTAGACCCCCAGGGCGGACTCACTGAAAACGCCGTGGAAGCTGAACTCCCCACAAGTACCGTCATGACCTACAATGAGACTGATGTAATTTTAATTACTGTTTTTTCCTTCTGCTTTTTTTATTAATTCTGGTATTTCATAGCCCTGAGAGCAAAGGAGATGTGATCATCCATATGGTAAATCTGTAAGTGGTTTGGGCAGCTGTTGGAAGAGGAAGTTTCTTGTAAAATATTTTCACTCCAGATATTTCAGTATGTGGAACACAGATATTTAGGTTTTGGTTAAGGATTATTCCCCTGGAAAAATCTGTTCACGTTGTTTGCATTTCCCTGTGTGAAGTGCTTCTCTGACAAAAAGAAAAAGGAAGGGTTGGTGTTAAAATCTATGTAAAAGCATTTTATTTCAAAGCTATTAATATAAATCCTTAAAATGTTGATTTTATGGAGAACAGCAATATTTTTCATTTTGTCATTCCCACTGGATAGTATCTTTACATTTTTCAGATTGTGATTTTTTAAAAAAACGTCAAAACTAGGACAAACCCTTGATTTCAAACTACTGCATTCATTCAGACAGCCTCTCTGTTTTGTGCACAGATCTGCTCAAATATGAGATCAGTCCAGCTCCCACAGCTGACGTTTCTGGTGGAGCAATTACATTTTTAGTTACCCAGACTTTAATATGCTTCAATTGAAATATGTTGCACTTGAGACTCTTTTATCCATAAGACTTGCCCAGTTCTTGCCTCTTATATTGCTGTTCAAATAGATGAACGTTGGTCTCATCCTTAGGTGGGACTGAAACAAATTGTTGTGCAGCTGCGTGCTGTATAGCTCACTACGCAGGGAAATAATTACGCTAGACAAGGCAAATTCTTCATTATCCAGGATCATCAGCAAAGGGGAGTCAATAGTAGGATAATGTTTCCTGGGAGGTAGGATGGGACTTGGCAGAGCTTTATTCTTCCTCAAATGGGGGAGAATTACTTGGTTGTGGGACTGTCAAAACTCAAGGCTTTCTGTGGCAGGTGCTGGAGGGTGGCAAAAGAAACAGCAGAAGTTGGCCGACATATTTGGAGTTGGACCTGGAAGCTTGAATGAAAAGGTGGTGGGGAAAGTGTCCAAGTAAAGAGCTGAGGAGCTGGAGCGAGGCAGGAGGGGAGCCAGCTGCCCCGAGGGCTGGTGGTGTGGATGAAGTCCAGCCAGCTGAGGGTAAAAAACTGCAGTGGAGGAGGAGGTTGAGCAGCCCAAAATGATACACAGAGAAACGGAAAAGACTCCAGCATATTGAGGAAGTGAGTACCAACCTGAAGGAACCCATGGAGCTGGGAAGCTTTTCTGTTTCCTGACAAAGAGCCAGAAATCTTTGGCCAAGCTTGACCTTTCTAATAGAGAGGAATTAAAGATTGAATAGTGTGACCTTAAAAATTGTAAGGGGAAATCACAGGATTGCTAAGGTTGGGAAAGACCTTTTAGATCAAGTCCATCTGTCAACCCAACACCATGCCCGCTAAACCATGTCCTGAAGTGCCATGTCCACGTGTTTTTTTGAATGCTTCCAGTGATGGTGACTCCACCACCTCCCTGGGCAGCCTCTTCCAATGCTCAACCACTCAGTAAAGAAATTTTTTCCTAATATCCAGTCTAAACCTCCCCTGGACCAACTTGAGGCCATTTCCTCTCATTCTGTCACTAGTTGGGGAGAAGAGACCAACACCCACCTCACCACAACCCCCTTTCAGGTAGTTGTAGAGAGCGATGAGGTCCCCCTTGGCCTCCTCCAGACTGAACAACCCCAGTTCCCTCAGCTGCTCCTCATCAGACTTGTGCTCTAGACCCCTCACCAGCTTCGTTGCCCTTCTCTGGACATGCTCCAGCACCTCAATGTCCTTCTTGTAATGAGGGACCCAAAACTGAACGCGGTATCCAAGGTGTGACCTCACCAGTGCTGAGTACAGGGGCATCATCACTGCCCTGCTCCTGCTGGCCACACTAGTGCTGATACAGGCCAGGACGCTGTCGGTCTTCACAGAATCAAATAAGAGACTCAAGGGCCATGTTAGTTGTCAGGAGAAGGAAATAGAAGAGGAGGAGAGTTCAGGTAGGGAGATGCATGGCAAAGCTTTCCTATGTGAAAGCTCAGCCTGCTTTTGGCAAAGCATCTTGCAGGGAGGGTGCAAACTGTCCACCTCCAGCAGCTCCAAAAGAGACAGCGTTTAGTTGGTGGGAGGACTGCTGCTCCAGTCAATCTTTTAGCTGATGAGCGGAGAAAAGGACACAACTTGCCTGGCTGAAGGAGATGCCTGTGCACTGAGGTGAAGGCTAATGCAGTGTGACATAGGGGAGACTCCCAAAAAGTGCCAGCCTGAGGGATGCATACCCAAGAGCATACGGATTTTGGGTTTACACCTTGGAGTGGGAGCTAAGGGCCCTGCCTGCAGCCATGAACTCCTGGGGTAACAGCATACTTCAATCCACTGAATCATTAAGGTTGGAAAAGACCTTTAAGATCACCAAGTCCAACCATCAACTCAACACCACCGTGCCTACTAAACCATGTCCTGAAGCAAATCCAGCAGCAGACCAAGCTGCTTTATGAGCAATATGGAAGTGTGGATCAGGAGCTTGTGTGTGTGATTGCCTGCCTAATGCCTGTTGTTAGAAGCAGGGTTTCAGTGGGAGATAGACTGCTAAAGTGGTTGGAGCCATTTATTTGCTCTTAAAAAAAAAAAAAAAAAAGAAAAATCCCCTATGTTTTGGCTAGTTTAGGGAAAAAAAATAGTGCTTGTGGTCATGAGTAAGTGTGGTGTAATTTCAAGTAGCCCCAGGTTTCTGCTGTCAGCGGGGGAAGGTGGCCGGAGCCCGGAGCTGTTGCACAGGGATGCGAGGGAGCGGATGCGACACCGGGCGTCCCCCGAGCTGCCGGCGGCGCCGGCCCTGGCACTGCTTGCTGTGGGATCGCACAGGGTAATGTTGGTCTCGGAATGGTAATTTTTAGCATCCCTTCACAGACCTGTTGCAAGTGGGACGTGTCTGTCACTGTTGAAGTTCACCTGTCTAGATTTTGGGAAGACTCCCAATTCCTACAACGGGAATTAAAAGGGGATTTAGTTTTACACCAGTGAAACTTTGCGGAGGCTGCGCGAGAGGCTTTGGAGGCAGGCGTAGTCACTGAACCCTCCTGGGCCCGGGTTTCATGGTGGCTAACAACTCCGTGATAAATGCCGGGGAAGCAATTCCGAGATTTAGTAGGCAGCGCTGCTCCTGTGAACAAGAGGAGCTGGGGACAGATATACTTTGTTCGTTGCCTGCTATTCATCATAGTAGTTTGCTTTACTTGTCCGGACACGTATACCAGGGCTTCACATCTGCATTGCTTCTCCAAAGGGAAGGCTAAAAGGTGGCTTAAACGAAGCTGTTATCAGCAAAGGAGAGTCACAGTATTTTGCACACTGATTTTTGGACCTCCTTTTTCCTTTGTGGACTGTTTTCTGATTCGGGTTGTCTAACAACATTGTTAAGGAGATTATTTTTTAGGCTTTTGTTTTGGTTTTTCTCCAAAGCACCTGCAAATCTCAGCATGAAGAACTTTTCTCCTTCTCTACCCAGTTATTCAAAATATCGTATTTTTCCATGCAAATTGATTTGAGGACCTTAATCAAAATATCAAACCAGACATTTTTGACATTCATTTCAAGAAATGCAATTTGAAAAAAGCTCTCTGTTATCCCCAAAAGCTTTATAGCAAAGATAAGCAGGCCTTAAGGTTTCAAAGAGCAAACCTAGATAAAAGATTTCAAACAGGATAAAAGATGTCCGTGATAAAGCTAGACCCATTTGGACGGTACAAAGGAAAAACAATACCAACTTTTCCAAGTTTGCTAATTGAGTAATTGCCAAACTAGAATTTCTGCAAAGACCAGTCGGTATTTACAGGGGTAAGAGATGATGGGGTGGCAGAGTAATGATTGCCTTAACACTAGGCTTATTCTTACTTTAAAACCTCTTGAATTTAGCTATAGATGCTCGCTCATGGGTTCTGAGCAGTTTTGGCACAGAAACAAGCTCTGGAAGTGGTGGTGGCATTTGAGTGATTTTGAATTCATAGCAGCGAGGAGATAATTTCTTTGGGAAGCACTAGAAAGAATTCAATTTATAGACCATTTTGGTCATTACCTGGATGGGAAAGAAACAAAAAAAATATCTTCAGCACATGTTCTTCTTTACGGTGCTGCTCAGAGTAAAGGCTGCCAAGAGGCAGTTGCCTGCCAGGCTGCGGAAAGCACGGGGGCATGGAGAGAAGCAAGGAAATTCTGATACTTGTCTAGATGTTGTTGCTTTGTGGTCCATAGCATCTGTTGCTGTAAGGATTCAGAAAGGATTCAGGGATTAATGCATCAGATTTGTAAAAATTTCTGCTTCTGCTCTTTGAACAAGCACAATCACAATGTGCATCCCAGACTAAGAAAACAGGAGGTTTTTGTAGAAGTGAACTTGAATTTTTCCACGTTTTCTCCTGTAATCGGATACGCCTAGTGACACAATGTGTTTTAAATATGGGACTGGATGTGTGACTTTCTATGCTTAATAATCCAGCATCTGCCGAACTGAGGCTGTGAGAGATGAGTAGGGCTTGGAGTTTGAAAATTCCATTCCCTCTTTCTCTAGTTCTTTAGAGTTCGCAGGATCCTCCTGATATAAGCTCTTGCTTTGTGCTGTGTTTTGTTTTCCTTGCTCAAACTTTTATACTCACTGTTATTTTAGGGATTGACAGAGAAATCCCAGGGAAAGCCAGGGTGTATGCTTTGACATAAAGATCCTCCCATCCTTTTTGTCTGGCATTGGAGAAGACTCTTGGAGGTCACTGGAAACCTTAAAATTCCAGAATTCAACTTTTCTTGTGCTTTTTATTTGCAACTACTATTATAAAGCAGCCTCCCTTTGCAAAAACCAGAGCGTTCCCCTTATATTTGCAGCATGTGCAGCCTGGAGAGATTTGCAGCCTGACATGTTGCTGCTCTTTTGCTTCCAGGCTGCTCAAGGAGGAGATGATTTGGATAAAGATTTCACCGAGGAAACAATAAAAGAATATGATGGAAATTATTACGATAACTATTATGACCGAACAGTGTCTCCCGATATTGGCCCCGGCATGCCTGCTAACCAGGACACTATCTACGAAGGGGTAAGAGAGTTAATTTTCCGTCGAGGGTAAGCCTAGTTCAAAACATTTGTCTTCCCATAATTTATAGCACAGATAACAGCACTGCAAAAACCAGTGAGAGCATCTTGCTCGGGTTCATTCACCTGCGATGCGCGTGTTTTGCACAAGGCAGGGAGGAGGTGCCCTGTGCCTTTTCTACGTGAACACCAGCAGTCTTCTGGTTGCAGAACTTGTCTTAGGATCTGCAGTTCCCGCTTGGAGTGATGATGCTGATGCAGGTGATGTCCTCTTTGACTGTCTGGCTTTGTGTTTCCTTTGTGTGCTACAGATCGGTGGCCCACGGGGCGAGAAAGGACAGAAGGGGGAGCCTGCGATTATTGAGCCGGTAAGGGATATCTGGGGTTCTGGTGGGTGTTTTTGGTTTGTGGGTTTTTTTTTTTCCCCCTTCCTCCAAGGAAAAAAGTAGAAGGGGTACATCCAGTATGGCTTGGTGTTCTCAGTGGTACAGCTGGGAAGAAAGTTTCCCATGGAAGAATTACTTGGTTAATTTAAAAACTTTTAATATAAAATACCGTAATTTTTTTTTTAAACCTCAAGAAGCGACCTAAATTACAAAGGAAATGCAGAATTTCCCATGAAATCTCTCATTTACCAAAATAAAACCTAGGCCTTTTAGAATTGAAGTATTAAACAGAGGACATGTCTCGCCTCTCCAGAGGTTTTGAAGTGCCCCCAACTCAGCAGGGAACCTGCTCCCCTGCGTGCCCGCAGCCGGTGGCCAGGTCATATCCTGACCTGAACTTGCAGCTTGGGGCCGGCTTTAATTGTGCAACTAATGGGTTCATATCTGTGGAAATAAAAGGGTTCTCCCTGCACACAGCTGTGGGAGAGGAGAGGTTTGCTCCTGTGCCCGCTCCAAGGTCCCACCAGCTTTCCACTCCCAGAGAAACCCTGTGTTGTCCTGGGAGCGCAACCCGGTGCTCTCTTTCTCTGTGATTCTGCCCTGGCCTGTTTCTGAGGTTGTTTGTCTTTCTAAAGAACGGTTATAAACTGCCTGTGCCCTCCGCGGTCCGCAAAAAATGCGGGTGCCCAACGGAGCACTCCCGAGGCGAGGATGGAGCCGCTCCCCAGCTGCCCTCGCGGTGGCGACGGCTGGTGTTTGCTCAGAGGCGCCCGTTGAGCAGAGCAAGCGGCCGTTGGTTGACGGCCGCGTGTCTGTCCCTCGCCGTGTGTCAGGATGCCGAGGTACCCCCGTTCCTGCTCCTCCCTGGGCCTGGAAAATGGGGCTTCGGGTCCTTGCAACCACCTCCCCTGAACCTCACCCCTGAAGAGCCGAGCGCACGCTCGCTGCACACCAGCAACTCAATTAACCTAATTTTCCTTGGCAGAGGGCCAGCGCGGAGCCCAGTGTCGTGGCGGCGCTTCCCATCACTTGGAGGCCATTATTTTTCTTCTAATTCTTCCTCCCTTTCCTTCTTTCCCTGACGCTTTTGCAGATAGTGGGGCTGAGCCGGGAAAGGCTGGGGTGCAGCAGCGGGGCTTTGAAAAGCCTGAACGGGTGCCTTATAAAAGCATTTCCGACCTTTCCTTCCTTCTTTTCCTTTCTGAGTCTCGCTCTTACTCTGCAAACAAAAGCAGCAGCGAGTGATGTGCTTATCGGAGCTGTGGGAAGGGTGGGGGGCAGCTGAAATGCATGAAGACGGCAGCAGAAACCCAGCCTGCCCTGTCCAGAACCAATCTGAAATGCTACAAAGCGAACAAAATAGTTAAGTTTAATCATCCAGAAAGAATTTGGCCACATTTGCTATTTCAAAACACTGGAGCATGTATAGCTTTTGCCAGAAAGTAAACAAGACCAAATGCCGCCTTCTCCCTCTCGGTGTGGTTCCTCTTCAGCAGAGAGAAATTCAGATTTGCCGTGCTCCTTAGCTGCCTTTTTTTTTTTTTCTCCTGATGGGAGCTGCAGCAGAAGGGGGAATAAAAACCAAACGCAGAAGTTGGATTCTGCTGGATTTTCTCTCCTTTTCTTTCAAACCTCCTGTCATTCAATCCTTGCTCTGTGCTGACGCTCGCTGGAGGCAGCGGGGCAGCACAGGCACAGGGCGAGGAGGGATGCAGAGGGATGCCTGGGGACCCCCGCATCCCAGCTCTGGAGGCACCAAAGCTGCCTTTGCCTCCTCAAAGCCCGCTGTCCTTCGTGGGGGACCCTGGTGCTCTCACCTGCCTTTGGGGAGGGTTTGATCAGCCTTTGTATGGCACCTTTGTGTGTTGAAGCCAGCTTTTGAGCTGTTCCTGTGATACAGCTTCACTTGTGGGTAGCACCTGGGCAGTGACTGAATGGAAGCAACAGCCTGTTTTCCTCTGGGACAGTCCCAAATCCATGCTTTTCTTGCTACCCTCAAGGCGATCGCTCTCGGTGGCATCCCCCCACTGGTCCTGGTCCCAAAAGCCTCCCATGTTTCCATCGCTCCTGTTGATGAGCAGTCATATAAACAGTGGAGCTTTTTTGCTGAGGAGAGTCTCCAGATGTCCCTAAAGCTAAGAGCTCAACATAAACCAACAGATAAATATGGGAAGATGCCAAGGATGTTTGCATTGCAAATTGGCTAATTAGCCCAGACTCTTCCCCCATGCGGAGGAGCTCTCGAGGCTCTGCAGCTGGCCATAGGAAGCAGAACCTCAGTGCTGTGCATGCTCAGACTGTGGTAATGTTGGTACCCAGCGGCCCAAAAATGTCCTGGGAAGACCTACATGGGCCATGGCTCGAGGGACAATTCTTAGTTTCTTGGTTTTCTTAGTTTGGGAGCCTGCCACACCAAAACATGCAGTCGCTGGTCTCAACAGAGATGGACTCTGGGGTGTCCATGTGGCGAAAGGTTTACTGGAAGCTCTGGGGTTTCCTGTGCAGAGACTCAAGAGTCTCTGAAAAGGAGCCAGTGCTTAGTGGATGTCCTGGGGGACACCTTCTCCATCGGCATACCTCACCTCTTCTTGGTAGCCTCCAACAGCAAATAGCTCATGCTTAGTACAGGTTTGAGGAATGTCGTGTAGCAATCACTCT